TATGCGAGCTTATAAATGGCTGGCATGAATGACTTCCTTGGTTGGAGATAATAATTTGGGATAAATTAGTAGAATAATTTGGAACCTTATTTCTCTCATGCCATCAGCTAGTTAGGGGTTACACAGTGTACTTCCTTATGGCTTCCATACAGGCTCCTTCACAGAAGCTCAGCAGGTGTTAATGCACAAGCTGAAGGATGAAATGGCCCAGTCCTTGAGTTGGGCAGTGCTGCAGGTCTCTCTGGCCTTAGGACCGCATTCACCACTTTCTACATAGCTTTAGAAGGAAGAGATTATCCATTTTTAAGATGATGTGTAATCCTTAGAAGTTGTTGGACCTCATGAGAAAGTGTAAACCTAGTAGATGCTTTAATTAATAGCAATGCCATTATTCAAAACTGAAATTAATTTCAGAAGTAACTCCTTCAGCAGATAGGGAGGAAACTTTGGATATGGAAACATATGTAAGACATCTCTCTTTGAAGAGTTGGTAAGGGTTGTTTCTATAGCTCAACTGCCAGTACACATCCAAACTTGGGTCACAGGATTCCCTAAAAGTTTCCATGGTGTCTCATGAATGGGGAGCTATTGCTGGTGCCTTCCCTAGTCCTGTGAAGCACGTGGGGAGGTGCCACTAATTTGAAAAGAATGTTGTACTCTAGGCAGTTAGGAGCCGCCAGATCCCTGCATGTTCTTCGTAAGGATCTGCTGATGCAGAGGAAGATAAAACTTGTTACACATGCACTCTTTCATCTCTGGTCATTCTGAACCCTGATGCAATATTTCTGTGACTCCATTACTTTATTAAATTCTATAAAGATTTTAATGGGATTTATGATAAAAAGATAAACTGTGAAAGGTATTCAATATCTGCAGGAAAGAAAAGGAAGATGTATACATTCAGGAGGATCAAAAATAATAAAGTTGATAACTGATTTTTTTCTCAAATGATGGGGTGAAATATACTATCTGAAACAAAGTCTTGTGGTAGCATATGAAAAGTTTCCAATTAATGTCATGCATTTAAAATTCTATTTTGATATACATAGGTCTTTGTAATATAAACTATCACTTATTTTTAATTGTAACAATAAACATTTTATAAATGTTATTCCTTGTTTTGTGGTTTTTTTTATTGTTGTTGCTGTTGTTTTGGTTTTTTAACACAGGCTCTTGCTATGTAGTGCAGGCTGGCATTGAACTCACTGTGTAGCCCAAGCTGACCTCAAACTCATGGTGATCTTCCTGCCACAGCCACCTGAGCACTGGGATTACAGATGTGTACCATCATGCCTAGCCGCTGTTCTGAATGAAGAAATATTAGAAAACTAGAATTTTTCTTGGACCCGTCAGAGAACTATGGTTTCAAAGATGACCACTGTTCTACAGTTAGGAGAGAAAGTGGCTCCGACACCGTCTAGTATGTGAGATCCTGAAGCCTCAGCCCCTGGGCACCTTCCCTAGAGTAAACCATGTGGGAGAAGGTAGTACTGAGATCTCAGCCCATTTGGGCAGGAAAGTTTGCACACTGTAGCCTCACTCTGATCTTCCTGTGGTCTACATTTGATAGCTTGGGTAAATGGAACCATCCTTTCAGAGACACCAAATATGGTACTAAAATGTATATAGGGACAAATACAGCCATGCAGTGTATAACGATGTGTGGGTGGACCACATATAAGATGATGTCCCAGAAGATTATAGTGGAGCTGAAAAAATCCCTGTCGCCCCGTGACGTCCTAGTGGAGCACAATACTCCCGTGGTTGTTGTGGTGCTGGTGTAAGCAAAGCTCCTGTGCTGCCAGTGGTTTAAAAGTATAGCAGTTTCAGTTATATGCAGGACATAATACTGGATAATGATAATAAATGTCTATGCCACTGGCTTCTGTGTTTAATATGGAATGCTTTTCTCTCTGCTCTGTAGTGTACTTCTACTTGTGAAATTGTTTATGTTAAAAGAGTATGCTATGTTTTCATGGCACCAGACTTCAAAGTCTTGTTTTCACTCTGGCAAGAAGCCATATTTATTGCATAGTTTGCATCATTTGTTGTTAACTCTCTTCCCTATAAACACCAGCAAAAACATTTATACTGTACAACAGTCTTCAGGGGCAAACTGCGCTGACTTCATTCCAGTTGTGTCAAACAGTGTGTTACACCCTCTGGCGGCCACTAGGTAAACCAACAGTTATTTTGCTGTTAATAAGAGGCTTAGCTTAGCTAAGGCTATACAGTACTGTGCATACTCTGGTGATTAGTAGGTAAACCTAAAGCTTCTTCAATTTTCAGTTCTTGTAAAGATTGTTAGCTCCACTGAGCCTTATTACGAGAAGTCTGAAATGTTTAAGATTAGGACTTTCTGCAGACTATTTACAGATGTCTGGAACATTGATATGGCCCACGGGCCTTGTTTTCTTAATCTAATATACTGTGCTAAGTGTTGAATATCCTTTACCCCAAATGCTTGAGCAAAAAAGTATTTAGGGTTTCAGATTTTATTTTGGGGTTCGGAATATTTTCCTATACATAATAGTATACCTGAGAATGGGTCCTCAGTCTTTTTTTATTTTTCAATTTTTTAAATTTTTTGGTACTAGGAATCGAACTCAGGATCTTGCGTTTGCCAGGCAGGCACTTATACCCCTGAGCTATATCCCCAGCCCTCAGTCTTAATAGAAAATCCACTTTTATTCTAAATAAACTTTATTCTAATATTTCAAAGGTAATTTTATACAGTATTTGTGATAATTTTGCACATGAATTCAAGTTGCAGTGTATGAAATTTCACACTGTGGTTTTACAATTTGCAGCACTGAGATAGGCTTTTCAGAGTCGGGATGCTCAGGCCTGCTGACTGTGAGATAACTGTACAGTCCACGGGACTGCCTACCTTGATTCATGGAGCAGCACACTGAGGCCTACGTTTTGCTCTCATTCCACTGCACTAATGTTGTCCAGGTCACCAGAATGTCTTACCTGGTCCACGGCTATTATCTTCTACCTAATTCTTCTTCCTCTGTGAAGCTTTATATCCACTCTACAGAGAGAAACCCAATTTATCTTTTAAAAATGTGCGTATCATAAAAAGGTGATGCGTTTTACACACTTAGGACCCTCCAGTGTTGTTCCCGCACAGTCAGACTGAGCTGTGAATGCTTCACCAGTTCCGCAGTGTCCGATGGTGCTGCCTCTGCAGCTCTCTGCTCAACCTCGCCTCATCTTCTACCACTTTCTCCTTCACGCACTCGAAACCGGCCACACCACTGCCTTTCTGTTTCTTACGTACATTCTCCCCAGCTGTAGCCTTGTGTGTGTTGTTTGCTCTGACTACTAGGGTTGGTTCCCAGTTGTCTATATTGATGGCTTGTTTCAGACCAAGGCAGATTTCAGGTCACACACCATGTCCCCAGAAGTGTCTTTCTCCCTGCTTACTCTGAATAATTAAAACTAGGAACAATGAAAAAAAGCTCATGTTTCATCAGTTAGTTATATTTATTACAATATGTAACCTAACATCATATTATCTGTGAATATCCTTATCAGAATTGTTGGATTTGGGATTTCAGTATTTTATATTCTGGAATATTGTCCTATATAATAACACATCTCCAGAACAGAAACCAACACAAAATTGATCTATGTTTCACATCAACCTTACAAACATGTGCTGAAGGTAATTTTTTTTTTTTTTTTACAAATTTCTCATATACCTGCATTTTGACTCAAACACGGCACATGAGGTCAGGTCTGGAATTTTCCACTTGTATCCTGTTCAAGCAGGAGCTAGGGCATGGCAGTGTGGCCGGAGCAGAGGGGTACAACCTGCCAGCTGAAGAGACTTGTTAATCACGGGTGTAGAGCAGCAACTCCCAAGCCTGGCACAAGAAAAAGCAGGGCCCTGCACCCGGTACCAATCTTCTGACATGAGAACATGACGAACCTAGCATCTGATGTCAGACTTCTAGCAGGAGATCAAATGGGACCACCTGGACCAACTGTCCAGGCAGCTGTTGACTTTGGCCCACTGTCTACTTCTTGCAGGGATCAGTTCTGCTTGGAGGACATTCTTCTCTTTTCCCTTCAAAGCACCCTTTCCTCCATGAGCACTACTTTTGCACTTCCTTTCCTTTTCTCCTCCTTATTTCTTCCCTATAATAAGCAGTAATGTTTCACATTTGCCAGTTGTCCTGACCATTTCATTGAATGGGACAGTAAGAACCTGCTAAACACTACTGGGCCCTACTCTACCTAGTAACAGTGTCAGTGCTCAAAAGGCTTCAAAGTTTGGAGCATCTTGGATTTTCAGATTAGAGATGTTCGACCTGAGTGCTGTGATCAAATAGTTAAATTTCAGCGTGAAAAGTTGGAGTGTAAAACATTGGTAGGTGGTAAATACGTCGATTCATTTCTAGGTCCACCTTGTTTCATAGGGTACACAGGTCTGTTTTTATACCGGCAACATGATGTTCTGGTCACCACAGTTTTGTAGGTTCTTAGAGGTCAGGTGCTGTGATACTTCCAGTTTCGTTAGTTTTGCTCAAGATTTCTATTGGATATTCAGAGATTTTGTAAATACATAGAAATTCTATGGTTTCTCTTCTATTTCCATGAAGAATAACATTAGAATTGTGATATGGATTGCATTGAATCTATAGGTCACTTAAGGCAGAAGGGACATTTTTAACATCACTGCTTCTAAAGCGTGAATACTGGATGTCTTTACATTTACTCAGATCTTTTGCAGTTTCTTTAATCAGCATTTTATCATTTGCACTGAAGAATTCATTCACCTCCTTACTAAAACGTATTCCTAGGTATTTTTGTAGTTATTAAGACAGATCTTTTAAAAACTTCTTTTTCAAATACTTCTATTTACATATAGTAACACCACTAATTTTTATATGGATGATTTTTTTCAGTTTTTTGAGACAGGGTCTCACTATGTAGTTTAGGCTGGCCTTGAACTCACTGTGTATCACAGGCTGGACTCATGACGATCATCCTGCCTCAGCCTCCCAAGTGCTGAGATTATAAGTGTGTGCCACCACACCAGTTTATGTGTTCTTTTCTATCCTGCAAGTTTAGTGAAATTTTGTTTGTTCTAATAGATTTTGGTGAAGTTGTTGGGGGTTCCCATATAAAACAGCATGTAGAGAAAACCTAAAAGGGTAGAAGGAAATAATTTAAATTTACAAAGGAGAAATATCCAGAATTTAGAAGGAACAAAAATAACTGGCAAAACCCAAATAATGAAATTTTAAAATGGGTTAAAAACAGCTATTTATAAAGAAAAGATAAACAGGTGGTTCGTGGATATATGAAAAAATGTTCAGCATCACTAATCCATCAAGGAAGTGCAACTGAAGATGAAAGAGCACTGTTACTTCATTCCAGCTAGAATGATTATTACCAAAAAGATAAAAAAAATACTGAATGTTGACAAGGAGGTGGAGAAAGCGGAACTGTTAGACACTCTTTTGGGAATTCAATTAATATATTCTGTGTGAAAAACATTGTGTATGTTCATCAACATATTAAAAATAGAGCTACCATAAGATCCAGCAATTCTTTTTCTGGGTACACATCCAAATGGAAGGAAACCAGAATGTTGAGAAGACATCTGCACTCCTATACTTACTGTAGCACTATTTACAATAGCCAAAATATGAAATCGATGAAAATGCCCATCAATGAATAAACTTGTTAAGAATATGTAGTATGTCCACCGTAGGTTACTACTCAGCCATATACAATGGTGAAATACTGTCATTTGCACAAATATAGATAAGCACGGATGACATTATGTTAAGTAAAATAAGTTAGGAAAGACAAATAGCAAATGCTCTTACATGTATGTATGTGGACCATATGATGTTGACCTCATAGAAGTTACAAATAGACTTCTGGGAAGGAAGCAGGAGACATAAGCAGCAGCAGGGCAGCCTCTCTGAGATTCAGAATCCAGACATTGAACATTGGACATTGGACATTAGACCTGTGGAAGCAAAGAAGGAGGGAGGTCGATCCCTGGGGTCTAGGAAGAACTTGAAAGGAGAATTGGAGTCCACAGGAAAAGTGAAGAAATAGATCTCAATTCAGAAAAAGAAGGTGGCAAACTGCACTTTCTCCCTGATTCCCAACATGACCAAGGAGGCTTAAGGCGACAGACACAGTGAAGGCAGGTGACCGCAGAGTCCTCAGCAGTGGGTGACTCCAGAGGCCTTCATGGAGAAATGCGTCAGTGGAATGGAGCAGTGGACGCTGTGAGCTACATCAACTGGTGACTGACTCCAGTCCGCGTGTCCCCTGGAGAGAGAGCTTGGTCAAAGGCCATTGTAAGGAGGGGCCAGCTGAACCTGGGACACAAAGCAGCCATCCTTTGCTCCTCTCAGAGCGCCCAGTCACTGAGTGAGGCATGACCAAGAGAGATACCCAGGGTCATAGAGCCAAGGTCAGGCCAGCAAGAGCCATCCAGAGACACCCAGGCTGAATAACTCAGGCCCCCACCCCACAACAGGAGGCCATGATCAGCCTGAACTTCTGGGAAGTTGAAGGTAGCGGAATCAGCAGCACACCCTATGCCTGCTGCAGGCTGATCACCCGGGATTGATCTGGGCTCTGTCTGTCCCCTTTGTTATCAGAGACAGCAGTGACATACCCTAAACTGAACACTACCACAAAACGGTAGACCCCAGCAGATAACTGCAGCTCGAAATCATAGAGAAAATCACAGAGAAAAACTTTTATTTGACATTGTTTTTTTTCCTTTTTGCTTGACTATTTCTTTTTGGTTTTCCATGAGTATAAACATTGTTTTTAGGTTTTTTTGTTTTGTTTTGTTTTGTTATACTTTTTGCCTTTTCCTTCTTTCCTTCCCTCCTTTCTTTGCTAGTTCCCCGAAGTTTGTGTAGTCTTCCTTTGGCCTTCAACCTTGCTTCTACTCTCTCTGTCTTTCTTTTCTCTATTTTTTACTCTTAAGTCTTTTAAGTGCTATCCCCTGAGGGTAAAATCACTCTATTAAAGGGATATTTGCTGTATATAATTTCCTGATTGTTTTAGATTTTTAATATAACTATAAATCTTGTGTCCATGGTTTAAGGTGGAAAATTAAGTTACCACAGTTTGCCATTTTCTAGACTATACTGGATACTGTTGTTATTACTCATCATACTACTTTAGCTAAGGAGACGTAGTTGCTGTGATCAGTTGTGCTTCCGTATACATCAAAACCAAGATTATCTGGGGGTCATAAACAATACCATAGTGCAGCACCAAAGAACTGAGTGCTAGGCAGATAGGCAGCAACTTGTCATCCCTAACAAATTGAAGAGGCAGGATCTTGGGACAGACTCAGAAGCCAAAAGCCAACTAAACCCTTATCTCTGAACACAGTCATTTCCTAAGGAGGTTTTGATGCTAGTAACAAAGCTACCTGCTATAAGCAATTTATAAACATCAATGCAAAAACAAATATTAAAAAATTAAAAAATGGGGCATGAAAAAAGTAAGACGGAGCCCCAGAACTCCAGCTCACCCAAGACAAATCCAGGAGGCATAGAAGTTGAATAAATCAAAGCCACCCAGTTGAGCCTTCTGAAATAGTAGCAGTGGAAGTAACAAAGCCGATAAATGAGGCACTAGAAAAACATCAGAAATAATTTCACAAATAACTAAAGCTATGATGACCATAATGAAGGACATGGTTAGTGAATCTAAAGCAAATACTTATTAAAAAGTAAAGGAGCATAGGAAAGTGATGGCACCCGTGAAGACCCAACATAGGAAACACATTAATTCCATGAAACATTCAAATTCTATTGAAAGTATATCAAAGAGAATCAATCAATGTGAGGACAGAATACCAGATCAAGATGACAGGCTTATATGTATTAATCAATAAATGAAAAACTTCTTAAAATAACAAGGGACCATGCAAACATACTCTTAACAGCTGCTAGATTATGCAAAGAAGAATAACATAATGTTGATCAGAATCAGTGAAAACATCAGAGGATAGCACAAAGGACATTTTAAAAAACCTGCTCATTGAAGTCATGGCACAAAACTTCCCAAATATGGAAAAAGAATTTGAAATAGAGATAAGTGAGGCATATGGAACTTCAATTAGCAATGACCACAATAAAACCACACCAAGGGATATAATAGCATTCCAGAAATTCAACACAAGAACAGAACATTAAAAGCTGTTAGAGAAAAGAAACAAATCATTTATAAAGAAAAACTCATTAGAGTCACAGCAGACTTCTCAACACAAACCCTTAAGTCATGAAGTGTTTGGAGGGAAGTATCTCAAGCTCTAAAAGAAAAACACCTCTTACCTAGATTGATGTACCCTCCAAAACTGCCTTTCAAAATAGGGAAAAAGATACTTCCATGATAAAGAACACCTAATTCATGACACCAACCCTGCACTCCAAAGTGTTCTAACGACAACAATGCTGTGAGTTCCAGTAGAATGAACCCAGCAGGTAAGGCAAATAGTTAAAAAGAGGGGAAAGTAAGGGAAACAATAACATAAAAATAGTATGACAGGATAAGTCAGTATATATGTTATAACTATCAATGCAAATGGTCCCAAGTCACCAATCAAAAGAAACAGATTGGCATAATTTATTAAGAAACGATTCAGCAATATACTGCGTACAAGAATCATGTTTAACTCAAAAAGAAATGAATAGACTGAAAGTCTAAGGATACAAGAAATATTTCATGCAACAGGAACCTGGGAAAAATCAGGGATAGGTATACTATTTGCATTGAAAGTCGATTTCAAGTCAAGACTAATCAGAAGAGACAAAGAAGATCACTACATACTTGTTAAAGAAATGTTTCAAGAGAAAGAGACAAAAAAGCATAAATACATATGTACCAAATACCGGCACACCAAACTATATAAAACAAACATCAATTGACACGAAAAATCAAATAAACACTAACACAATTATAATGGGGGTCCTTAATATGCCACTGTCACAGATAGACAGATCAGCTAGACAAAAAAATAAAGAAATATCAGAACTGAACCAAACCTGTGAACAAATGGACTTACTAGATAGCTACAGAATGTTCCACACCACAACAACAGAATACAAATTCTTCTCAGCTGCACAAGGCACTTTCAAAATAGACCACATTGTAGCCCATAGAACACGCTTAAGTTAGGTGCAAAGGAACTGAAATTACTCCAGGCATATTATCAGATCATAGTGCAATTAAATCAGAAGTCAATGTCAAAAGAAACCACAAAAATTACATAAACACAGGGAAATTAGAGAGCACCCTCCTGAATAAGCAGTGTATCACAGCAGAAATTAAAGAAGAAAGTGAATGATAATGCCAGTACAATATCCTGGAATTTATGTGATGAAATGAAAGCAATTCTACAAAGGAAATTTCTAACAGTGAATTGCTATATCAGAAAAACACAGCAAGGTCAAATAGATAACCTAATGTTGAACCTCAAGCTTCTAAAGAAGAGCAAGTTAAATCCACAGCACTACAAGGGAGGAAAGTATAAAGATCAGAGCAGAAATAAATGCAATTGAGACTAAGAAAACAATACAAAGAATCAATGAATTGAATAGTAGATTCTCTAAAAGATGAAAGAAAGAGCCAACCTTATGAAACAGGAAAGATTCAAATTCATGCAATGAGGAACGAAAAGGGTAGAATCACAATAGATCCTGCAGAAATCTGAAGATTGTCCATAAGACCTGTACTCTTAATAAAATGAAAAATGCAGAAGAAATGAACAGATTCCTTCATACATGTGAATTATCAAAGCTAAAGAAAGAAGATATAAAGAATCCCAAACAACCCAATATCAGTAAATAAAATAGAAGAATTTCTTTAAAAAAAAAAAAAAACTACCAATAAATCAAATCCCAGGTCCTGACAGATTCACTGTTGAATTTCTATAAAATATTTAGAGAATATCTAATTTCATTACTCCTCAAACTCTTTAATGAAAATGAAAGAGAAGCAATACTCCCAAACTCATTCCTGGAAGCAAGCATTACTCTGATACCAAAACCAGAGAAGAATACAACCAAGAATGAGAACTATAGGCCAATCTCCCTAACGAACATAGATGCAAAATATCCTCATAAGATTGTGGCAAGTAGAATGCAGTAAATCATCAAGAAGATTATATGCCATGACCAAACAGGATTCATTCCAGGGATGCAGGGAGGCTTCAACATACACAAATCAGTAAATGCAATACACCACATTAACATAAGCACGGAAAAAACCACATGATCACCTCAATAGACACACAAAAAAACACTTGACAAAGTCCAGCACCCATTCATGATAAAACCCTACAGAAAATTGAAATAGATGGTGTTTTTCTCAATCTGATAAAAGCCATCTATGACAATCAACAGCCAGCATCATACTAAATTGTCAAAAACTGAAAGCTTTCATTCTAAAATCAGGAACAAGACAAGGACGTCCACTATCACTACATTTATTCAAAGTAGATCTGGAAACATTAGCCAGAACAGTTACAAATAAAGAAAAAGAAAGAAAAGGAATAAAAACAGGAAAGGAAGAATTATCATTATATGCAGATTACATGATATTTTACATAGAAGACCCCCCAAAACTCCACTAAAAGACCCCTAGACAATAATCAAATATAGTAGCATAGCAAAAAACAGTCAATACTCAAATATCTATAATATTCCTATAAATAAATAACAAACTCACTGAGAGAAATTAGGGAAACAACACCTTTCATAATAGCATCAAGAAAAATGAAATACTTAGGAATCAATCTAACAAAGGAATTAAAAGACCTTTACATGGAAAACTACAGTACACTGAAAAAGGACATTGAAGAAAATGTTAGGAAATATAAAGACATTTCTTGTTTTTGGATAGACAGAACCAATGTAGTTACAATGGCCATACTTCCAAAACTGTTAAATAGATTTAATGCAATCCTGATCAAAATACCAACAGTATGAC